ACTGTTTAGTCGTCCAACTGATTGGTTTAAATTGTCGTAATCGCTACTTTCAAAATGAAACGTTGTCCTGTTCTTTCAAGTTGTTTATGATGCGAGTTTTGTGCATTTATGGACGTTATCATAAATGTGACCTCATCAATGGCGCTGATAAGAAATGTTATGGGTTTCATGGGCTAAAAAGTTGCAAGTGAAAGGAATGGTTTTTTGGAGGGTTGCCCTAACAGTTATTTCGGTTGTATTATTTTGTCAGCTAAAAGTCGCATTTGAAGATCCGCTCAGGGCGAGAATAGATGGGGGAAGGGGGTGGTCTGTGGTTCGCGTCTAAAGGGTTTAATCTTCACCAGGGAGACAACGAGAAATTCTTCTTCCAAAAGTCCTGCTGGAAGTAACAAAGTCCGAAGAACGTGACGTTATCTTCATATTTTCAATTTAGTGAGGGTCTTCATCGGAGAAAAGAGGTTCGAAAGAGGTGCCCACTCAAATTTTGGCTCTTTTTTCCACCTCATCACTTATTTTCCTCCCTCTGGAGGTGTTGTGAAAATCGCAGCTGGTGTCAACGGAGCGCTCGGGGCGGCATCTAGTCCAGCATCCAATCACAGGGCGCTTGTCTCAGATAGGCCGTCCTCCATTGGTGAACCGCCCACTGTCCACCCGCTCCTCCCATATCGCCATAACGATTTCTGCCCCGATTATCGTAATTCCTTCCCTTACTTTATCAAGCACACCTCAGTTGAAAAGCCCCACAGGGGAAGTATGTCACATCTTAGGGCCTGGTAAAATTGCGAAAAGAAATTTCGATAATAATTTTTGCCGTTTCGAGCGCTCTATAAAGTTCACCTTCCACATTGAACGTGATGTCCTGGCCATTGTCTAACAATCTTTAATGTGTCAAAATTGATACGAGATGGCAAGCATTTGGTGTACCGTGCTCTAAATACGGTCCCATTTGTCTGCCACAGAGACGGAGATGGTTAGTGGCATGGCACGCCTTCCACATAGCGTTCCAGAAGTCAGATTCCGGATCCACTCCCGCCCACGCCAACCTACCAGGAAGCACTTCATGCTGAACGCTCCTGAACGCGTAGACCAGCCAATACTCCGCTTGGCCATTAACGACGCTCCATCTTCTTAGTCCCATTCACAGCACATCGCACGTTGGGAATCCCGGGCAGGGGGTTGTATTTGATCCGTGGAGGGAGAGGGGACGTGTTGGGCCGGAAAGATTATTTTGGTTGCTAATTGCTAATTTCGTCGTTGTTATAATTCCAAGGGGGGGGGAGGGCGTCGTATCTGCTCGTCGTTGGGACAGAGCGGTCCTATTTACTATTTTTTCTGAGATACTAGGAGAAGTGGTAGGAAACAGAGAATAGTCAGAATGATAGTAGGTAAAACGGGGGAAGAGGGTTCACTTCAAAGGAGGAAATATAGGGGGATCGTACTTTCCAGAGAAAAATCTTCAGCGGCAGGAAATGTCACTTTTGAGACCATTCATTCGAGGCCATCCGTTTTTGTTTGATAATCTTTTCAAGTGTAAAGGGGATTGCTGTGATGGAAGCAACGTCTTTAATTGCGTTGTTATTCCAAGGGAAAGGTCATGTTTCTTCGTTTCCGGCCCTTTGGCAACAGCTGTCAGTTTTTAAGAAGGTGCCACCAGTCAGACCAATTTTAACGGTGATCCACCGTAAATCAAACAATTTGATGTGTCGATTTCTGTGCTGAACGTCACCTTCACTCTTTTTTCCTGGAAACAAGCTCAAAAGAACGAAAGCACCATTTGCCCTTTTTGACCCCGTTTTTTTAGAACGTGGGCCAGATTTTGATCAAAATTAGTCACAAAAGGTGAATTTGACTAGGGATTCGTTCTCTGTTGTCGCATCCCGCTCGATGCCAAGCCACTTAATGCGCTTAACACCTCCTTAGGGGTTACAGACGTGTTCGCTGTGGACGCTAGAGCGTTTCAGGGGGCTGCGTTTGGCGCGGAAGCTGGCAGGCATTATTGTTCAAGAAAAGCGCGGAATGATCCCCTTATTGGGCATTTTTGCGCGACAAAAATTGATTTTAGTAACCATCAAAAAATATTCTAGGGTACATTCCGCGGTAAGCGGATGGATGGAGATCGTTAATCTTGTGCCTTTCTCACTAGCGCGGTTTTCCTTTCTGCAATATTGGGAGGAGGAGCGCATCAATGGAGAACGCACATCGGTTACGACATGTCCGCCCAGTCGATTTTCGCGGAATATCCAGTGACAAGCCATTTTTCGAAATTCACCACTATTTCATTTGCTTACTTATTGGAAATGCAGACACAGCGCAGCATGTTAGCTGCTTGTCATTAAAATTTCTAAAATTTCTAAAGCTACTAATTAGATTTTCTTGCAGGTGAAAAGTGCAATAAAAGAACGTTGGAAAGGCAATAATGTGCGGGTGTCGGTGTTCGGAAGTTTACGAACTCGACTGTTCTTACCGACGTCAGATATCGACGTATTGGTCGAGTGTGATGAATGGAAAGACTCGAGTGTCATGGTAAGAATATCTATTGATTTATCGATTTTTCTCCATTTTTGGATTTCACCTTGAAAAAGAGCGTCCAGTGATTTATGACTTGAGATTTTAATTGTTATTTTTGCTTCTCCATTCTTTTTCTCATAACCATTCAGGGCATATTTCATGAGTGTAAGAAGTTTTTCCTCATGGGGACTTTTTATCCTAGAATTCCCTCCCCGGTGTGGAAATCCATAAAGATGACGGGCCTAACAGCCTTGGATGGGGCGTTCAAGATGACTCATTATGCGGAGCTGGGACGGAACGTGGTCTTAATGTAAGAGAATTGCCGTACTTGGAACAGCCACCCACGTCGGAGCTCCTTCTCCTCTTCGGGCTTGGGCAGAGGTCCCTAACTCTATTACGGTACAGTCTTGCTCAGGGAGTTTCTTTAATGCCCCTCCAAAGCTGTTGTCACCTGATGATGGGTTTCGGCAATTTGCAGCAGTCATCTTCACTATGGAGTCATATGGATGCGATATCAAATCATATCGCCTGCTAGGCAGAAAAAATCCAGAGGAAGCTTTGCTAAACGACGTGCAGCAAGAGCGTGGTTTCCGCGGTGACAAACCGACAGTAAATAGAAGGGGCGGGGCTTCCCTGCAACTGGAAAAATGCGCGTGTCTTCCCGAATGCGAGAGAGAGGGGGAAAACGGGACACAATTACCTAGCAGGACTGGACTTTCCACAGATTTTTCTTTTATCTTTTTTCTTTTTTTTCATTCTTCGGCGAAACCACAGGCTAAAACCGTGCAATTGAAACGGGAAAAGTTATATACGAAAATTCCAGGAAGCCATATATGATTGCCAGGGCACTTCTTGCGGCTGAGGAAAATTGTTGACTCCCTTTAAAGTTCCTCTTCTGGTTCGACCCCTCCCACTCCTCCTACCATGTCAACTTGTCCCGTTTTCCTACCCCTTTTTTTCTTTGTCAAAATTTTCCAGTTTTTCCCAAGAAACTACCGTCTAGCGATGGGGGAATGGTCGCCGAGAAACACTAACTATCGGAAATAGTAGTTGTATAGAACATTACCGGGACGCCAACTAGGGCTCATCCTGCTGTCCCCCCCCCCCCAAAGCGTCCCTCTTCATCTCCACCGTAACTAAATTTTCCCAGCTCTTATTAATTTTTACCGCTTTATCGGAGAAACTCCTCCACTACACCCCTAAAAACTATCGTCGAGTGGGAAGTTGGGGACGAAGGGGAGCAAAGGGGCTATCTAAGCGCACTTGAAGCAGAAGAAACTTAGAAGGTTAAATTGAAAACTTTTTCCTCAAGGACAAACGACCCTCTCGCTGTGGATTCCCCAACATAACATACGACTTGCCGCTGAATGCCACCCTTCACCTGCCCAAATGCTGCATACTACTCTTATAAATTCCTCCAATGATGCACTCGCGCACTGAGCTTATCCGGCCCCTCATTTCCCTGGGTTTATGGTTAGTGCTAGACTTGTCTGAATAGCTTCAATCAGTTGCTCGATAACATTTTGAGTGGAATCGGTATGCATGATGCACACCAGGGTGATCCACGCCTGCTGATTTAATTTTACTTTACTTCTCGGTTTGAACTAAATGATGAGTGACCAAATGCTCCCTCCCACCGGTACGGTTGGCAGCAACTGCGTGCCCCACGCCTATCGTCCCCTTTTCCTTCAAGAGAGCACTTCTTAGATATTTTGGAGTGGGCTTTGGACTTTGACGTGGACCTTGGAATTCTGCCTCGAGGAATTGCATAAGGGTGCTTTTTCTAGCAAAAGAATAGGATCTAGCAGACTAACGTCTAGTAGTATGCTTATGTGGAGCTCGTTCCCTCGTTCTTATGCGCTGATCGTAGGGGCGGAGACATCCATTCATTGAACATTCATCATCTTCTCTACGCTGTCATTAAAAATGACGGGCACATGAGAAAGGCATAAAGATTGTGTGTCTTCCCCGAGACGATCGGCGTGAACTGTGCCTTTAGGTGTGAGGGAATCGACTGTCCTTTAATTTTACCGAGAGGGGCCTGAGCTAGAGAAAATTAACAGATTTTCAGTCAGAGACAGTGGTTCCACTCTCAGGAGATTCCATATTTCCCATCATGAATTTCTTAGGAATCCGCATGATTCTTGGTATAAGGTTTTTTTTGCAAGGCTGTGACGTGTTTGTATGCGCGTGTGATTGATGGCACCGCTTTCAGTGTTTGGCCTTGTTTTTATGGGCTATATGGTTTGGAATTTCATCTCAGCAGACAAAGAAAAAGGGAAATAGATGATGAATATTTTGAAGTAATTTCTCATGATGAATGAGCCGCTACTAGTTCGTCATCATGGTTATAGCCAGACGTTTTATTGTTTTGTGCTTTGAAGCGCCAGAAATTTCTAACGCCAGAAATTGCTGAGAAGTTCTACTGAATGGGGTTGACATCGTTTCTAGCTAACTCGGCAAATTCGGCTGAAATGTTCTGGAACGAGGTTCTTTTTTCAACAAAGCAAGTGCCTTGTTGATGCGTTTCTTTGTCTGGGAGGTAATGATACAAATGGTGCAGAAACCACGGAACGTTGTGACCAGGAAATCTACAGACCAGGAAATCCACATTGTGTGACTTTGAGATTCTCTCGCAATCCGTCTATGTCACAACATCAAGAATACGTTCCGCTATAGTCATGTGGGCGGGGCCAAGTCTACCATTGTTCCTTCGTCATTGGTTCGCCAACCTTATTGAGGCGTTAAAAAGGAGCGGTGCGCCAATAACTAGTAAGATAAGTACATAGGTGCAGTCTCCACGCAGTTCGGCTTGATGAGGGCACCTCCTTGGTTCCAGTCGATCTCTGCAGGTAAATTGCTATGAAGCTATGCAATAACAGGAACTCCGTTTAAAAGGAACTTGGCAAGAGTCTATAGATGTCAATGGTGAGACGTGCAGTTCAACAGGACCCAACAAAGGAAACTTGTGAAAGGGCAACATGCCTCTCTCAAGCCAAACAGCGCCAACCCGCCTATACAACCAGCACAGAATAGAACTTTGGAGGAAGTCAGAGCCTGCATGCATCTTGCTCCAGTGGCTGTAGTTCAACGACAAATACACTGAAAGAGAAACCAAGTGAAATTAGGGAAAATCCAATGGAAGTTTGTAGAGAAGTTTCTGGTGATGGTCAAATATCGTCGGGTATTTTTTCGGTAGTAAAGTTCTTCGCATTTTGG